AGTAGTCTGTCGCCGTCTCCTGGTCGCCCATACGCAGGTGCGTCAGCTGCCCTTCAAGCTGGGCGATGAACAAGTCGTCGGTGACTTGGTAAGTCGACTCGATGAAGTGCCACGCCCGGTGGCCGGCGTCGAGGTGCTCCCTGCACGACTTCAGGGCGATTTGCACGCCCGGCGAGCAGCACCGCGATATGACCGTGAAGGTCAGCAGCTGCACGGCGCGAAACTCCGCACGCAAGTCGGGGTCATCCGGCGTCGCCACGGTACCGCGAGCAAAGTTGATCAGCCCGGCCATCTCCAGCTGGGGCTCGATGGCTTCCTTCCAGGTAAGAATGTCGGGTCGACCAACCAGCAGGGGAGTGACCAAGATCCTATCCGGCGTGAACTTGAAGTAGCCGTAGCTCGGTGCAATCCCGCCTGCTGTCACCTGGGTCGCCGACATCGGCAGAGACCCACTTCGTCGACCTCCGACGTCACCCTGCGAGGAGCCTGCAGCCGCCGACGACCGCATCCCTCGCACCTGAACGCCGCCGACTTCATCGGCATGAATCACACCACGCTGCCTCGACGACGTGCCTCCCGCACTGCTGCCGACTTGGTCACCACCGGCGTTGACGCCCACGTCGACGCCGCCCTCGGTGTTCACCGGTCGAGGAGATGCAGGCCGAGAAGGAGGGTGCTCCGTCGCCCACACGGAGCGGATGCCAGCCTCGACGACCGCCCAGGGGAGGTCGCCGAACTCCTTCGCCTCATGGCGTCTCCTCGCGCTCTCCAGCCGTGCCTCCAGGGTGTCCACCACCCTCGTGTCACCTACGGCGCCTACCATAGTGACTACTGCACAGCTGCCGGCCTACGAACAACTTAGGTAAGGTGCAACTAAGTCGACTAGACTGAAAGGTAAGTCGCGTGTTCGTTCCACGCTCACCGCACCATGCAGAGATAACTACTACAACGGGAGCTGGACTACGGGCTAGGCACGTGTGCTCGTGTGATCTCTGCGTTCACTTGTTCCTTAGTCGTTTCCAAGTGCTCACACTACTTGCTAGTTCACAGGGAGAATTGGCAAGAGTTTCACTAGGAAAGTTTTACAACAATGGTACAATGAAGTTGGCAAGACTAGACTACATCAGAGCTAGCATGCAAGCAAGTCTACTGCCAGCGCAGCACGGTCGACCGTGTGCCAGCACGACTTGGTCGACCGCGCTCCAGCAGTGCAGAGGCGCGGCTTGCCAGTGCTGCAAGTCGACGGCGTGCCAACATCGCAGGTTGACGGCGTGCCAACGCTGCTCCCGCAGGACAGCAGCGCACCCGCTTCGCAGGTGCTCGCAGATGATTCGCATGTGTGCAGTGCCTCGTCACCTGCACAGTGCACACACCAAGTCAACTTCATGCTGACGACTGATTCTGATAAGCCAAGTCGACCTCGGGATACCACCACCGAGATCGTCCTCGCCAACATCGCCTGAGCGACCGTCGCGTGCCTTCGCAGAACCTCGTCAGCAAGATAACCTGGTTGTCCGGGCAACCACGTCGACCAGCTGCTCCTGTATGTGCCGGTCGACCTCCCAAGTCGACGACCACCTCCAGTCGACCTCCCCAGGTCGACCACTATGTTCGGTCGACCAACCACCAAGTCGACCAGAAGGCCTGGTCGACCAATCAAGTTGACCAGAAGGCCTGGTCGACTTACCAGGTCGACCAGAAGGCCTGGTCGACGTACCAGGTCGACCAGAAGGTCTGGTCGACCAACCAAGTCGACCAGAAGGCCTGGTCGACCAACCAGGTCGACCAGAAGTTCTGTCAGCCGACCATCCAAGTCGGCTACCCCAAGTTGGCGTCACCAAGTCGACGCCCTCCGCAGGTCGACTTCCCAGGTCGACCTTCCTGAAGTCGGCGCCATCCTGAAGTCGGCGCCCATGCAGTGGCACCCGTGCAGGTCGACTTCCTCGTCGACCAGCTCGCCCACTGCTGCAGGTCGACTGCACCCCTACACCCGACCACGAAGTCGGCTCCGCCCAAGCGAGGACGGGGCCAACACACAACTCCCGTTGACAGAGAGGAGGGGAGGGGAGGGGAGGGGAGTGGAGGGGAGGGGAGGGGAGCGGAGGGGAGCGGGACTGGAGGCCAGTGGTTGCTAACAGATCGCCCCCTTTCTGCCTCCTTCTCCTCCCTTCCTCCCCCCTTCCCGTCTCTATTCCAATCCGTGTGCAGGTTGGTGTAACCCTGCTGCTCGCAGGACTCCCAACTCTTGACCCCTTGGCCCTTGACCCCTTGGCCCTTGACCCCTTGGCCCTTAGACCCCTTGGCCCTTAGACCACTTGGCCCTTGACCCCTTGGCCCTTAGACCCCTTGGCCCTTGACCCCATGGCCCTTGACCCCTTGGCCCTTAGACCCCTTGGCCCTTGACCCCTTCGCCCTTGACCCCTTGGCCCTTGAGAGACACATTCTCTGCACAAGGACTAGTGAGGTATTTGCTGGCAAGTTACCCTCACCCGTCCCCATCCTCTGCACCCTCCCTACCGTTCCCAGGCTGCCGTTTTTGTGCCAATAACGCACGACAGCTGGCCCAGAGGTGCTTTCTAAGGTCATTGATGCGTGCGCGTTGTGGTTTGCTTGTCCATCTTCATGCACCGGAGAACATTCCATTGCATGCCTCTCCACTCGACTGCTCCTCCGAATGTGATGCATGGTCGAGTTTTGAGTCGCAATATATTTAGGTTCACCTTTTTACATGGGCGATTCACTCTTGTTCGTTGCATCTGAGCATGGTCTTATGTGTCTGGGTAGGTGGTGCCATGCATGGCATGTCATGTACCTTGATGCATTCCCATGTAGCCAGCAATTGTATCCTCCCAGGTGCTCACTCACTGACATACTTTGTGACACAATTCGCTCAGTCACTCGCATGGTGCCGTTCATACACATTCGAATGGTGCCGTTCATACACATTCGAATGGTTCCGTTCATACACATTCGAATGGTGCCGTTCATACACATTCGAATGGTGCCGTTCATACACATTCGAATGGTGCCGTTCATACACATTCGAATGGTGCCGTTCATACACATTCGAATGGTGCCGTTCATACACATTCGAATGGTGCCGTTCATACACATTCGAATGGTGCCGTTCATACACATTCGAATGGTGCCGTTCATACACATTCGAATGGTGCCGTTCATACACATTCGAATGGTGCCGTTCATACACATTCGAATGGTGCCGTTCATACACATTCGAATGGTGCCGTTCATACACATTCGAATGGTGCCGTTCATACACATTCGAATGGTGCCGTTCATACACATTCGAATGGTGCCGTTCATACACATTCGAATGGTGCCGTTCATACACATTCGAATGGTGCCGTTCATACACATTCGAATGGTGCCATTCATACACGTGGTTACTACAGCACCCTGATTTCTTGTCGAAGTGCCATTGTTTCGTGCTCAACTTTATTTCTGCCTGCTGCTTTCCAGCCTGCCTAGCACCATGTAGTGGCATGCGTGCCAGCCTGCCATGTCCCATGCATTTGCCCATCAGCATCACCACCATCTACTTCCTCCCAACACTCAATCACCCAGCTCTCCAACCTTTCACCTGCCCACTTCTCGTTAAGTTTTTCCTCACATGCGGTTTTCTATCTGCTTCGTCAACCTCACTTCATTCTCACCTTCATCTGAGAAGGCTTTCGGCTTTCAACCTTCCTGTCTGTTTCAGTCCCAGATGCAGCATGGTGCACAACCTTACTCAAATCTTCTAAAGTTCCCCACATAGAAACCTCGAGAGAAAGAGGGCAGGTGAACCGAGACGACTTTTGAGGCGCCTAAGAAGGTGCATCATGGTGCATCATGGTGCATCAACGTGCATCATGGTGCATCATCGTGCGTCATGGTGCATTATGGTGCATCAAGGTGCATCAAGGTGCATCATGGTGCATCATGGTGCATCACGGTGCATCATGATGCGTCATGGTGCATCAAGGTGGTTCATGGTGCATCAAGGTGCATCATGGTGCATCGTGGTGCATCGTGGTGCATCATGGTGCATCAAGGTGCATCATGGTGCATCAAGGTGTCAGAATCCCAGCCATTAACCACTGGGATAAAAGAACTTATTTGTGTAGCGGGTGAGTTTGTCCATTACTCCCCAGGCCAACGTGCCTGTAACCCTTCCCTATGATCTATCGAAGATTTCCAATGGACCTCTGACCCCCCCCCCCCCCCCCCCCGCACTGGGATGGCCGATGTGCACGCACTGAGATTCAAACCCGAGAACTTCGCTATAATACCATGTCAGAATCTCAGCCACTAGACCACTGGTATAAAAAAGTTTGTTTGTGTAGCGGGTGAGTGCGCCCATAGCTACTTAGGCCAACGTGTATGTAACCCTTCCCAAAGCCCATATCATGGTACATCATGGTGCATTATGGTGCATCAAGATGCATCGGTGCACAACCTTTCTCAAGTCTCCTGAAAAGGTGTGCTGTAACTTTTGCTCTGGCCGGTCTCCTTGTTCTTGGTGCTCATTTGATGAGAGGCATTTCAGAGAGTGTGACTGCAGGTGGTGTGAGTGAAAGGAGTGTGATATGCAGGAAAGATGCATGGCCGCGTGAGATGGAGAGCAGAGAGTTGGAAGAAAAAGAGGACAGAGCAGAAATGCGAGAGGGAACAGGAGACTGGAGCATGGACGGAGGAGCGGCAAAGGAAATGCGAGGAAAATTCTTACTGTATGGATGGGAATGAAGCTGAAGCAGCATAGGGTGTGTGCGAGCAACACAACAGGGACAACGGCCATGCGATGGCTGCAATTCACTTGGCAGTTGCTGGGTGTTGTTGGCTCAGGGATAGCAGGCATGATATGGAAAGCTGATCCTGACACTATAAAAAAAGATGCTGCATGTGCTTTTATATAATATGCTATATAATATGCTATGTAAGGAAGGACCACCTCATTGTGGCAAAGCATTCCTACACCCTAGGCAATTAGCGGGCAACACCTAAATAAACACTATAGCCATTCCTAAAACAGTAAGTGTGGACCATAACATGGTTGGTTGGATGTGCCGGCCTGAAGACTCATCTGCAATAATACCATGCACGCATTGAAATGCAGAGGATCATGTTGAAAGCTAAGGTAAACAAGAGCAAGGAACTACTAAGGCTAACATATGCACTGAATATGTTTCTGGGTGTAGACGGGGAAGGAGGCTAGCAACGATCTGGACAAGGGCCGCTAGTGCCACAAGTGCCACACATGTTGCCCACGTCATGAATGTGACAACTGGCTTCAATGCAAATTGTGCCGCTGGTGCATGGTGAGTGACCGATTGTACGATAGCTCGCAACGAGAGGGCTGACTTTTGAGTCGACTCAAAAGTCACCTGGTGCATGGTGAGTGATCGGATTATACGTACCATAGCTGTAGTCGGGTGGGTTCTCAAAGATGGCAGGGGAGGAACGGATGATGGCACTGGTGGTGGTGTTGATGAGCTTGCCCGAGGTGCCTGTGACGGTTGGGAGTGAGGGGAGAAGGGGAATTTGATTTTGGTGAATGCATGTGCAGAGAAGAGGAGCAAGGCCAATGGCGAGCTTGATGTTGGGTGAAGAGCGAAGAGGAGGGTGAAGAGCGAAGGCGAGGGTGAAGAGCAACGAGGAGGGTGAATTGCAACGAGGAGGGTGAATTGCAACGAGGAGGGTGAATTGCAACGAGGAGGGTGAATTGCAACGAGGAGGGTGAATTGCAACGAGGAGGGTGAATTGCAACGAGGAGGGTGAATTGCAACGAGGAGGGTGAATTGCAAGTCAGTGGTGAGGGATGGCGAGCACGTACAATTCATGGGCACAAATCCAATTGTGTTTGTCTCGTGGTTGAAAAGAACATCGTTGTTGCGAAGCCACGACCCTGCCACCAGGTTACCAGTTGGAAGGCGATAATTGTGGCACAACATTGAAGGACTAGAACCTGATGAACTGATGCATAATGACGATGACTGAACAAGGTTTGGGAAACGCACCAAAAAAACAAATGAACAGTAGAAATGCACAGTACAGTGCACAAAGCAGCCCGCCTGCATCACGCATCCCTCACCTCCTATGTATGTTGTGTTGGACTGCCCATCCCTCACCTCCTATGTATGTTGTGTTGGACTGTCCATCCCTCACCTCCTATGTATGTGGTGTTGGACTGCCGGTATCCAATGGCTGCAATGCACAGCAGTGTGTCGTTCTGCATGTGGGCGGTGGGGCGACACAGAGAGCATGAGAACACACATGTGTTTAGACACATATGTGGACGTTTTCTCTAGTGCTCCTCATGAACGGCATTAGGCACACATACACACACGCATGGCATCAGGCGCACACACGCATGGTGTGAGGCACACATACATAACTTGTAAGCAAAGGATTTGTAAAGCTATGAAGAACACTCTTCCTCGTGTGTGGGGTTGGATGGATAGAAGGCGCACCTTGTGGAAGAGGTAGTTGTAAGCAGGGACGGCCCAGAGCAGGTTGGCAGAGAAGTCGAGCAGCAGAGGCGGGTAGGTGGACGCCAGCTCTGCACTGGACCTGGTGGGGGCAGGACAGGGGGGATAGGAGGGAGAGGGCATAGGCATGGGGGGAGAGCAGCGGGGATGAGAAGGGGGGAAGAGAAGAAGGGATGAAAAGAGGGGATGAGCAGGAGCAGGGGAGAGCAGCGGGGAAGAGCAAGGGGCAAGTGGCAAGGGGAAGTCAAGGTGATGGTGAAATCTGAAGGAGTCATGTCGTGTTGAGTGATGAGGAATGTCACGGTGCTGCTGCCATGGAGGATGGCAGTGAGCAGCGTGCACGGCTTGTGAGCAGCGTGCACGGCTTGTGAGCAGCGTGCACGGCTTGTGAGCAGCGTGCACGGCTTGTGAGCAGCGTGCACGGCTTGTGAGCAGCGTGCACGGCTTGTGAGCAGCGTGCACGGCTTGTGAGCAGCGTGCACGGCTTGTGAGCAGCGTGCACGGCTTGTGAGCAGCGTGCACGGCTTGTGAGCAGCGTGCACGGCTTGTGAGCAGCGTGCACGGCTTGTGAGCAGCGTGCACGGCTTGTGAGCAGCGTGCACGGCTTGTGAGCAGCGTGCACGGCTTGTGAGCAGCGTGCACGGCTTGTGAGCAGCGTGCACGGCTTGTGAGCAGCGTGCACGGCTTGTGAGCAGCGTGCACGGCTTGTGAGCAGCGTGCACGGCTTGTGAGCAGCGTGCACGGCTTGTGAGCAGCGTGCACGGCTTGTGAGCAGCGTGCACGGCTTGTGAGCAGCGTGCACGGCTTGTGAGCAGCGTGCACGGCTTGTGAGCAGCGTGCACGGCTTGTGAGCAGCGTGCACGGCTTGTGAGCAGCGTGCACGGCTTGTGAGCAGCGTGCACGGCTTGTGAGCAGCGTGCACGGCTTGTGAGCAGCGTGCACGGCTTGTGAGCAGCGTGCACGGCTTGTGAGCAGCGTGCACGGCTTGTGAGCAGCGTGCACGGCTTGTGAGCAGCGTGCACGGCTTGTGAGCAGCGTGCACGGCTTGTGAGCAGCGTGCACGGCTTGTGAGCAGCGTGCACGGCTTGTGAGCAGCGTGCACGGCTTGTGAGCAGCGTGCACGGCTTGTGAGCAGCGTGCACGGCTTGTGAGCAGCGTGCACGGCTTGTGAGCAGCGTGCACGGCTTGTGAGCAGCGTGCACGGCTTGTGAGCAGCGTGCACGGCTTGTGAGCAGCGTGCACGGCTTGTGAGCAGCGTGCACGGCTTGTGAGCAGCGTGCACGGCTTGTGAGCAGCGTGCACGGCTTGTGAGCAGCGTGCACGGCTTGTGAGCAGCGTGCACGGCTTGTGAGCAGCGTGCACGGCTTGTGAGCAGCGTGCACGGCTTGTGAGCAGCGTGCACAGCTTGTGAGCAGCGTGCACAGCTTGTGAGCAGCGTGCACAGCTTGTGAGCAGCGTGCACGGCTTGTGAGCAGCGTGCACAGCTTGTGAGCAGCGTGCACGGCTTGTGAGCAGCGTGCACAGCTTGTGAGCAGCGTGCACGGCTTGTGAGCACAAGATGCCATGCCAGTGACCCTCACTCCAAGCACTGACAAGTGAGGGGAGGGCGTGAGAGTCACGTGATACACGATTCCTCAGAAACGGCAGGCAGCATGGGTTGTGAGCACGTAGTGCCAGTGACGCTGACTCCACACGCTGACAATTCAAGAGAGGTGGTGCGTGCGTCGTGAGAGTGGCCTGGGTGAGCTCACATGCGTTTGGGTGTGCGCAGGCAGCGGAAGAGCCCCGACCAGATCATGCTCTGGTTCACCGCCTTCTCCAACTGCATGGGTGAGGATGGGCGTGGATGGGCGTGCATGGGCGTGCATGGGCATGCATGGGCGTACATGGGCATGCATGGGCGTGCATGGGCGTGGATGGTGAGGGGTACGAGCAGGTTGTGGAAGGGGTTGTGCAGAATAAAAGATAATAAGGCTAATGCAATGACAGATGAAACGGAAGGATGACTTGTTGTCAGCAAGACTGGGGCATGGAGGCGAATGACTTGCATTGACTGGTGGAACTGTTAGAATTTTACTTCTGTTGTACCCTGCAGTCATGATTCAAAGATCGAGTAGAGATAAGCACCCAACTTTAGGTTGGGTGGATATCTAGGGTTAACCCTCAGTTGGGGTTGAGACCCAACCTTTGGCCCAAATTATTGGCCCTCAAAGGTTGGGTTGGGAACATTATTGGTCCCCCCCTTCAATAATGTTGACCAACTCAACCATGGTCAACATTATTGGAGGCCCTCCAATAATTCTCAACCCAACTCGTTGGAGGGAATAATGTTGGCCACCTTCCCCCCTCTCTTCTCCAACTATGTAAACCCTGGATTCTTCTAGTGCAATCATCCCTTTCTCTTCAAGCTTTATTTCCCACATGGTGTAGAGCTCCCCAACTAGATCATAAGTTCCTTGTAAGGGCCCACCCTGCCGTCACAACCCCCGGCTTCCCTCCCTCCCCCAGATTTTTTATCTCTCGCTGCAGCGACCGACGTCGCAGCCGCATCCCCGCGCAATCGCAGCCGCAGCCCCGATTGCTGCCGCCGCTTGCGCCCTCCCCTCCGCGGCCTCCGCTCGCCGATCCCGCGGCGTTGCCGCCACGGCCTCGCCTGCCGTCGCCACAACCCCCTCTCCTCCGCGGCCCCTGCTTGCCACGTCCAGCACCGTCGCCGCCGCGGCCTCGCCGACTGCCGTCGCACGCGCCCTCCCATCCGCGGCCCTTATCCGCCGCGTCCCGCGCCATCCACACCATCCCCTCCGCGGCCCCTGGCCTGCCGCCTCCTGCGCCATCGCCGCAGCAGCTTCGACTGCCGCCGCACGCGCCCTCCCTTCCGCGGCCCCTACTCGCTGCGTAGAACGCCGACGCCCCCGCAGCCCGCGCCACTGTCGCCATCCGTGCCTCCCCCTTCCGCGACCCCAACCCGCCGTGTCCCGCGCCGACACCGCCACGGTCAGCGCCACCGCTGCCATCCACGCCTTTTCCCCCCTCCACGGCCCCGCGGCTCGCGCCGCCGCCGCCGTCCGCGCCTTCCCCTTCCGCGGCCCCAGATCGCCACATCCCGCGCCGACGCAGCTGCGGCCCACGCCACCGCCGCCATCCGCGCCTCCCCCCCCCTCCGCGGCCCCTGTTCGCCGCGTCCCGCACCGACGCCGCCGTCCGCGCCTTCCCCCTCCGCGGCCCCAGATCGCTGCATCCCGCGCCGCTGCGGCCCACGCCACCGCCGCCTTCCGCGCCTCCCCCCTCCGCAGCCCCAGTTCACCGCGTCCCGCGCCGACACTGCCGCGGCCAGCGCCACCGCCGCCGTCCACGCCTCCCCCCTTTTGTGGCCCCAATTCGCCGCATTCCGCGCCAACGCCGCCGCGGCCAGCGCCACCACCGCCGCCTGCGCCTCCCCCCCCCCCCCCCCCCCCCGCAGCCCCTGTTCACCGCGTCCCGCGCCACCGCTGCCGCATCCCGCGCGCCACCTACTCCCGCGGCCCCTAATTGCTGCCCCCCCCCCCGCCGACGCAGTTGCCGTCCGCGTCGCCACCGCCGCCAGCACTCACCTCTTGACCGCCACGAGTCCACCCGTGGTCGTCACCCATGGCTACCCCCCTGCCTCCTCCTTCCCCCCTCCCTCCTCCTATCGACGTATCCTCCGTTGACAAGCTCCAGTTAGCCGCGGACAACTCCGCCGTCAACTGGCACTTCTTCGTGGGGAGCATCCATCGCGTCCTCGAAGACGCATGGGTTCCTCCTTACTACATCCTTGATGTCCTCCTTCGCCTCCCGAATGCTCTCCCCCCCACTACGCCCGACCACCTCGGTGAGACTCCGCTCCTCTCCCTCCCTCCCAGACTCCTCCTCCTAAACTCCAACTCCAAATTGCCACCACCTCTGAGCTCCAAGCCACCGCCGATGCCGCCTTCCTCCTCAGCAGCAGAGAATACCTCATCCGCAAAGTCGACTATGACGCCATAGCCAAAAACTACGCCCAGGCCGTTGCCAGACGCGACACTCATCTCGCGGTCATTGCCAAGTACAACGACGAAATGGCAGCATCCACTCCCAGACTCATTGCCTGGTCCGCCGCCGACAACCGTGCATGCACCGTCCTCTTTGGAGCCCTCCCCGACACCCTCATGCGTCGCTTTTAGGCTCGGGAACTCTGCGCTTCCATTATCTGGACGAAGCTGCATGCGATGTTCGAGCGCCGCGACATCAGCTCTGTCAGCATCCTCTTCCAAGAGTACTTCTCCATCACACTCGCCACTTGTGATGGTGCCGTCGATTATGTGGGGCGTATGCGGGAGGTAGCCGATGGTCTCGAAGCCCACCAGGCCGGCCTTTCTGAACCTTTGAAGATCCACCACCTCCTCTTCAACCTCATCCCGGACTATAAATCCCGCCTTCACAATTTTACCAAAGCCAACCCGTTGGCTGACCTCGGCTCTGTCGGATCATCGACACTGAGGTCAAACTTCGCACCCCCGTCGTCAACCTCGCCACCACTCTGCCCTCTCCTCCTCCCTCAACGCCACACAGCCACGCAAGCAAAGCAACCGCAACGACAGAGGAGGAGGTGGGGCCAAAGGAGGCAGCGGTCGTGGTGAGGGCACCGATAGCGGAAGCAGCCGTGAAAGTGCGGGTGGTGAAGAGCAGAGCACCCCCACCACCAATTCTGGTGGCTCCTCCTCTACAGGGCGTGGAAGTCGTCTGGGTACTCTTCCACCATGCACCTACATTCGTCGTCATGGACCTCGTCCAGGCACGCCTTGTGGTCAAACCACTCACCCCCCTGCTACCTGTTTCAAGGCCCTTGATGACACATGGTTTGAGCGAGGCAACGACGGCACCCCTCCACGAGGGGCACGATTACCCCACGCCCTTCCCTCACTGATATCCAGACCAACCCTGCCTACCTGCCCGCTCACCTTCGCCTCCTTGCCCCCCCCCAGCAATTCCTCAACCTCTAGCAACAGCATCTCATGCAGCAGCAGCAGCAGCAACAGTTCTTGCTGCAGCATCACCAGCAACACCCGTGGGGACCCGGACCATAGTCGCAGTGGGTACCTGGAGCCGCCCCTTGGCAATAGCAGCAGCTGAACTTTGGAACAGCTGCCACAGCCGCTCAGACCTCCCCTGCCCCCCTATGGAGAGCCCCGCCTCCTCCTGGTAGTGTTGCTACCCCCCTCAAGCAGGAGAGCTTCCTTGGCAATATTACTATCACCCATGTCTCTTCCTTCCATGTATCAATCCGCCATAAATGAAACCACCTTTCAGTACTCTGTCTTCCTCCTCCTCCCCCACGCTGGACTTAGTCCTTGACAGTGGGCCAATTGAGACCGAACTCAAAGACACTGGTACCCTCACACTCCTTCCTCTTCCCACTCAGGTACACAGTGCAGACGCCAGCTTCTCCATCCCCTGTACCCACCTGTCTACTCTCCCATGCCCAATATTTCCCTCTGGCAAGGTAACTGGTCTCCACATCCCCACCCTCCGCAACAACCTCCTCTCCCACCGTGAGCTTCACAGTGCAAGTATCACTGCCGTCTACCCAAGTAACACCACCTGCTGTGACCTTTATCACACTGCCTCTGGCCCCTTCCTCCAATGCAATCCTCTCTCTCCCCGCACTCGCCTCTACACCCTTCGCACCCTTTGGCCATCCTTCTGCCATGTCACCACTCGCGCTGGTACTTCCACCGGTCCTCCCCCGCTCCCTCACCCTCCCCCTCCTCCACTCCCCCCTCCCCCGCTCCACCCTCACCTACTCCAACTTCCTCCTCTGACCATCCCTCTCATCCCGCCGTACTGCTACACCACAGACTCGGCCATCCCAATTTTGCTGCCCTCCGCACTGTCGTCACCTTTCGTCTCCTCAACAGTCTCCCTCCCACTCTTCCTCCCTCCCTTCCTCCCCGGCTCCCCCCTGCCCCTCCTGCATTTACGAAAAACTCAAACAGTCTCCACATCACAGTCATCCCTCTTTCGCATCTGCTCCACTCGACTTCATCCATATGGACTTATGGGGTCCTTCCCCCACTCGCTCCCGCCAGGGCCAACGCTACATGCTTGTCCTAGTTGCAACCACAGCCGCTATCCTCCCATCTTCCTCCTCCATACAAAGGACCAAGCACCGTCTGTGATCATCAACTGGGCTGAACAGTGCCACACCCATTTCAAGCGCCCCATCGGCCGCCTTCACTCAGACGGTGGGGGTGAATTTTTCAATCACACTCTCTCTTCCTACTACGCCACCTACGACATCCAACAGACTCACACCCTTCCCCACTCCCCACATCAGAATGGTGTCGCAGAGAGCCGCATTCGCGAGATCACTAAGGGTGCATTCCTGCACTTCGGGTCTTCCGTGTTCGGGTCTTCCAAGCACTTGGGAAGACACGAACCAGAATATTTCCCTTTGGGTCAACGACCTTATTTCCCACCCGATTTTGACTGTGTGACCAATCGAGCGTAACCACAGTTCGTCAAAATCGGGGAAGCGCTCCATTGGTCAGTTTCTTCCATCCGGCCGATCGTTCGACCAGCTCTCCCGCCATGGCAAACGGCCGCGCGACCACAACATAGACAGTCAGCGGTCAATGTCAGATGAATTGGGCGCGACTGTCCACTCTGAACCTCACAACTCCCGCCTTGATCAACACTGTCGATTGCAAACAACTCCAGATCTAGAAGAATTTGGCGCTCCTTAGGAAAACCAAACACACTCCAGCGCCTCCAGCGCTCGCCCAGCATTGCAGCTATAGGACCTCTCGTGCAAACTATAAACCAGGGCACTATGTTCCTTCTAGAACGTCAATTCCTAACCCGCTACCACGCCCTCAAATCTTACCTTCTTTCTATCTTGGATCTTCTCCAGCATGGCCCCCAAGCGCAAGTAAAGCAAGGCCGACAAGGGAAAGGGAAAGGCGACAGAGCCTGAACCCGAGGTCCCTGCGGAGGACCCCCCGTACGTCCTCTGGATGAAAAGTCGCCAGCAGCTCGGCGACCGTCGTGGTCGCATTAGGATCGAGAGTCAGGAGACTCGCGGCGGCGAGCCTTTTGGTGATCCTGACAACCAGGCTTGCGCGGAACCAGAAACGGCGGACATTGCGAGCTCAGACTCCGAGCCCGAGGAGTTCTGGGCGTACGAAAGCAGCGACAGCGAGGCGGACTCGGACGCCACGATTGCTTCTGACGACAGCGATGAGGATCCCGTGGCTGACGACCTCGAAATTGCTGCGGATAGCATTGGCGCCAGCATGGCGAAAGCCAAGAAGAAGGGGAAGGGGAAGGCCGTTAAGCCCAAGAAAAAACGGAAGCTGTGGACTGAGGAAGAGATGACGGAGTTGGCCGCCGCACGCTGGTTCACTCGCGAGGACCTCAAGTCGATGCAGGGCAAGCAAGGCTCACAATATTGGAAGAAACTTCGCCGCCATCTCCGGAAGGCGAATCCGAATTGGACACGCAAATCTGAGGCTATGAAGCAGCAGTGGAAGCGTCTGGAGAGGGAGTACAAGGAGATCGGCGAGGCGCTCGCCATGTCCGGGGGAGGAAATGTCGCCCGTCCCGGATGGTTCGGGTACATGGAGGAAATTCGGGCGGGAACCGCCGCCTTGAACCCGCACGTGGTCGACGGTGGCGGCGCCGGTGAGGATCACGCCGATCCTCTGGTCAACCCCGTGCCTGCCGCTCCTGCACCCGCCACGCTCCCATTGGCGCACGGTCCGCAAGCTGGACCGTCAGGTTAGTTTCCAAAGTCCCACTGTCCCTTGGATTTCACACGCTACGCTCCCATTGCTGCTCCGTCCCCACACAATCTGCCCGTTTACCAGCTCATCATATTTGGTATTTGCTCTCACTATCCCTTGCCACGCATCTTTGCTGTTTCTGCGCTCTCTCTATCCGCACTCTCGATTGGCGACCTTCATTATCCGTCCAGAGTTACTCAGTGCGCCTTCCCTCTCGCACGCGCTTAGTTCCCTGCACTCTGTCTTAACAATCCACCCTTCTAGTACCCCATCTCTTACTCCCATTCCACCTACAGGACTAACGCCAACGGACAAGGCGCCAACTACCACACCCGTGCGCAAGTGGCGTGTGTCTGAGAGTGCGACGCTCGCGGGAGCTAAGCTCATTGCTGACACCCTCAAGGAATGTAATCAAGCGGGCTTGGCCAAGCTGGAAGCCATTACCCAGCTCATCATGAGTGCGATCTCAGCCTCTGCTACGTCTACTCCTGACAATGCAGCCACCAACACCCCTGATGCAGCAGTGCAGTTCGATGCGCCTCTTGAGACGGCTGGCACCCCTTCTGAGATGGCAGGCACCCCTCCTGAGACGGCTGAGGCGCCTCCTGACTCGGTTGGAGTGCCTACTCCACTTGACCCTACGGTCCAGCAGTAGACCGGCGCATGCGCCTCAGGTATGCCCTCCTGAGGCACTTCCCAAAGTAGCTGCGCCTCCGCTGTAGGTCCTTTGGTGTGCATCGTTGCAGTGATGGCCACTTGAAACGCTCCATGCCTCCACGCATCCACCAGCCATGGCTCAAGCTTGCTCCCACCCTCCCCTTGTTTGCTCTCTTGTGTCGCAGGCGGTGCTGCATCGTCTTCGTTACCATATTATGCAGAATGATGATGCAGCCGGTGCCAGCGCACACTCTGCCCAGTCGGCACTCGTGCCTTCGCCCGAACTGACGCCACCTGCATTTGAGGGCACCAATGCACCGCTCTACCGGCATCCGTGTAGCAGATTGAACGTAGTTGAATAGCTGTTCCCACCCCTTGAACAACCGTTTGCTAGGAGCATGGAGAGGTGTCAAACAGTAGGAACGGAGTGGGTAGGCTGCATCACCTAGTAGCTGGTAGTCACCTAGGTCCCCTCGCTCCAACCGTTCATATAGCTTGCTCCTCACAAAAACACGGTGATCATGTACTGCGCCCGGATATCCCACCAGGTAGTCCCATATTATTCCCTTTGCGTCACAAGTCACTTGCAGTTGCACGGAGTAATGAGACTTGCGGTTGTAGTACTCCGTGCGATGATTCTCTATACCGCGCACTGGAATGTGAGTACCATCCACTTCGCCAACAACGTTGGGTACTCCTTTGATCTCCTTAAACTCTGCAGCCATACGCGGGAGTTCCTCCACGGATGGGAACCGCACCCAATCTGCTTTGAAAACCCTTGGGAAGTGCACCAAAAACGTGTCAACCAACTTGTGACAGAGGGTCTTTGAAACGCCAAAGAAAATGGACATGTCAACGTATGACAGGGCCGTAGCAAAGTACTTGACGGGGATCAATACGCATAGCTGCATTGGAATGCTGTGTTTGTGACTGAAAGGTGTTAGCACTTGCTCCATGCCATTTGCAATCATGGCCATGATATCCTTGCTTATCCGGAAGACGGCTTGGAATTCTTGGTCAGACATGAGCTCAATATCTGAAAGCCACTCTGTAATACGATCGAGCCGTCGCCTCTTCCTCGTCGCCATCTTCTCCTTGCGGCGCTCGTCCTCTTCTTCATCATCCACACCCCCCTGTTCGACTAAAGCCAGCCATGACTGAGTGGCAGCTGCAGCAGAGGGAAAAAGAGACTCTTGATAAAAAGTGTGCCAGAGCTGCAGTAGGCATGCCAGGAGGGTGAGTTGATTAGGAGTGAGCATTTTGAGGAGACGTGGTTGTTGACCTTGTATTAACTTGCTAATGTTTGCCTTTGCTTTATAACCAGAGATGTAATGTGAAGAGTCAATGGCGCAAAGCCGCGCCCAACACGAGAGCTCTGTGTTATCGAGTTCGTGGCAAACATAACATATGGGGCGTGCGTACAGTTGTACTCCCCACCGTCAATTCCGGGGCTGAATTGACGGTGGAATTTCGGGGCGACCACCAATGTGTCGCACGAAACATCGCTGTCTCTGCTAGGGGGCAGTACGTGATTTCGAACGGCATCGTGGGGTGGCGTTACGACCACCGTGGGTTTCCGAATCGGAAAACCCAAAGTCGAATCGCAAATCGCGCGCCTCGCCAAAATTTAATTCGGATGACCCGAAGTACTGATGACCCGAAGTGCAGGAATGCACCCTAAAATTGCTCGCTCCCCTCCTCCCTCCTGCACCCCTCCTCCCCCCTCTCCTTGTCCCACTCCCTCCGCCCTCCTCTGCTGACATCTACAATCCTGCTGCACCTGCTTCATCGGCCCACTCCACTGCCCCCCCTCCTCCCCCTCCCTCCTCCCCCTCTTCTCCTCCACAGCCGGAACTGCCTCAGCAACAGCCACAGCAGCAGCAGCAGCAGGGGCAGCAACAGGGGCAGTCGTTGGCTCGGCCGCAATAGCAGCAGCACTCACAGGAACAACATTCGGGGCATCAGTCCACACAGCAGCAGCAGCAATAACAGCACCAGCAGCATCAGCAGAGAGCTACTGCCCACTCTTCACCCTTCCTCCTCCCCCGCATGCATACCCGCTCTCTTGATCCCATCCGTGGCACCCCGTCCACTACCTCCCTCAATCTCCTTGAGAATTCCCACGAAGAGTTTATCACAATCCAGCAGCACACCCCCTCCCTCGCCCCGCTCTATCCTGACTTACTCGGTGCTCTTGTCCTCAGCGCCGTCTTTGCCCCCACCATCTTCGTCCCCTCCACCTTCCAGGAAGATGGTGAGGACAAGTGGATTGCAGTCATCTTCCTGGAATGTGAGGCGTTCATTCGCAACGACTCCTTTGTCGACGTTCCCCTCCCCCCCGATGCCAACCTTGTCGAGGGCAAGTGGATCTTTCGCGTGAAGCAGTTGCCATGAGAGGAACCTGTCTACAAGGCCCGCTACGTTGCCAAAGGCCTCACCCAGACCTGGGCCGAGGACTACTGGTTCACATTCGCCCCCACTTCCAAGCCGCCCACCCTTCGCACCCTTATCGACATAGGAGCACGTGACAATGTGGAGATATGCTCCATGGATGTCTCCAACGCCTTCCTGCAAGGTAACCTCCAAGCCCGTTTCCACCCCCCTCCTCTTCGGTCATCAGCTTGCACCACCAACCTCTCCCTCCTCCTCTCGCCCCTATGCCGAGCTCGTCGGGTCGCTAATATATGACACGATGTGCACACGCCCCGACCTCGCCTTTCCCATCAGTGTCCTTGCTCGGTTTGTGGGCACTGGCCGCCACACCGAGGAACGCTTGACGGCCGCCAAACTGGTTCTCCGCTACCTCCGCGGAACCAAGGACCATGCCCTCACACTTGGCGGCTCCTCTCCTCCTCTCCTCACTGGCTTCAGCGACTCCTCCAGGGCAGACTCGCAACCAGATCGCCGCTCTTCTCAAGGCTATGGCTTCACGCTCGACAGCAGCCTAAGGGCATGTAACTACTTTGATTTTTTGGGATTTTTCGGACCGACCGTATATCCAGAACCGGACCGTCCAATGTGACGTTTCGAAACCTTGCCACCGTCCTGAGAGAAACATGACACTTTTTTCTAGCACTTTGACTTCGCGACTACTGTAGTCTCGCGCAGTTCCCGCGACACTCATAACCAAATACACAAGATGTCGCAAGAAAAATTCGTTTGCCAATCACTGCACAGTTTTGCAGAGGGAAATTCGCATGCCAATCCCTGCGCAGAACTGGCGAACCGTCCGTTACGGTTTCGGACCGTCCGAAATGCGATTTCAGACCGTTGGAAACATGAAAAAGTGTCATGACGGTTCGGAACGTTGGCGACGTCGCAAGGGGTTTCACAAATATATATACGAAACATTGCGACTTTAGTAACCTGTCGCTAACCCGGACGGTCCACATTTCGGACCGTCTGGAACAAGAATAGGCAAAATGGTTACACGCTCTAATCAGCTGGCGTTCAACTCGCTCCTCTGCCATTGCTTTCTCCTCCTGTGAAGCTGAGCTCGACGCCGGCACCATGGCCGCTCAAGAATCTCGCTGGCTCTGCTTTCTGCTTGCTGAGCTCGGCGCTCCTCAGCGTTACCCCACTCTCTAGTGTGACAATGCCAGCACCATCCATCTCACCCAAAACCCCGTTTTCCACGACCGCTCCAAGCACATTGAGCTCCGCTACTTCTTCATCCGTGACTTAGTCCGAAAGGGACTCACTGCTGTTCGCAAGATTGCCGCCGAGGCAAACTTAGCCGACATCTTCACTGCCCTCACCTCCGGTGTCAGTCTCCTCCATCTTGCGCACTCTGCTCTCCTTCGCCTTATCGGACTTGCTCCTCTCGGCACTCCTTAATTCAGGGATTTTGTCTCTTCCGATCTTCTCCGTTACTGCAGGTTACGGGGTTGTGTTAGAATTATACTTTTGTTGTAACCTGCAGTCATGATATTCAGAACGGGTAGAGATAAGCACCCAACTTTAGGTTGGGTGTATATCTAGGGTTAACCCTCAGTTGGGGTTGAGACTCAATATTTGGCTCAAATTATTGGCTCCCAAAGGTTGGGTTGGGAACATTATTGGTCCCCCTCTCCAATAATGTTGACCAACTCAACCATGGTCAACACTATTGGAGGCCCTCCAATAATTCCCAACCCAACTTATTGGCCACCTTCCCCCCTCTCTTCTCCAACTATGTAGACCCTGGATTCTTCTAGTGCAATCATCCCACCCACCCACCCACCCACCCACCCACCCACCCACCCACCCACCCACCCACCCACCCACCCACACACACAGACACACACAAACCAAGAGAAACACTGCGCACGAACGAGAGGAAACGTGAACGAATGCATGCTTAAAGCGTAGCAGCAGGAGACTAACAGCGGAGGTGAGAGCAGTGAAGATGGGCGCAGGCAAGGCCGTGAATGTCGACCCACTGTCAATCACTGCTCCCCCCGACACCGCCCCTGTCGGCAACGATCCCCCCGCCGTCCCCCCAGTCGCATCGCCCTCACCATCCCCCCCCACTGTCACCCGCGCCCCCACCACCTTCCCCCGTGTCCGCAGCAGCCCCATCGCCCTCCATGAAGGAGGAGGCACCAGAGGCGGGGGTGGAGAGGCCGTGGGGGGTAGGGGCGACGGTGATGGTGGTGGTGCCGTTGGGCAGTGGGATGGGCGCCCAGTTGAGGTAGAGCGCGAGCAGTGGCAGGCGGTACACCGTGCTGAGGGGGTGGTCAAGGGGCGTGGGGAGAGGCAGATGGGAGAAAGAGTTGAATGGGGAGTGAGGAGTGCCTTCCTGACGTCAGGCAGGGGGATGGGCGACCGGTGGAGGTGCAGGGCGAGCAAGGGCAGGCGGTATACCGTGCTGAGGGGGGGTGGAGAAGGGGCGTTGGAACAAGGGGTGGTGAGAGGCAGAGATGGAGAGGAGCCGGAGGAAGAGCTGAGTGGGGTGTGAGAAGGGGTGCCCTTGGGAACCCTTGGGAATGGGGACAAGCGACCGGTTGACGTAGAGGGTGGGTAAGCGATACACAGTGCTGGGCGGGGGAGGAAAGAGGGATGGGGAGTCGGAGCAATGGGTGTGGTGTGGCGCCCTGGGTGATATGAGGGCAAAGGGACCCACATGGTAGAGGGCGAGGTAGAGGGCGAGGTAGAGGGCGAGGTAGAGGGCGAGGTAGAGGGCGAGGTAGAGGGCGAGGTAGAGGGCGAGGTAGAGGGCGAGGTAGAGGGCGAGGTAGAGGGCGAGGTAGAGGGCGAGGAGACGCAGATGGTACAGAGTGTTGGAGGAGCGAGGGGTATGAGGGAGGGGACAAAGGGGGAGGGCAGGGGGAGAGGGGAGGAGCAGTGTGTGGGGATTGGTTTGGGCGACCTCATACCGTCCCGTTCCACTGTGATATGACTGCCTCTGGCAGCTTGCATGCACCCATCAACCATCATAGGTCAACCATCATACATCTCGAGCAACAACAGGGGAAGCCGTCCAGTACAGTGTAGCAACCCTATCCCTTACAGGTCTTTAAAAGGGACCAAGGGCGCAGGGACAGTGGCGTTGCTATGCTTGCATCCATTCTCACAAGAATCCTAAAACGCCTCACAGGTCATCGGAGGGTGCGAGGGGAGCGGTGACGGTGGCATTAGTAACGGGCAGGCGCCGCCTCCCCAGCACGAGGTGGCCCCCCCGCTGGCGGCCCTCGAGGCACAGCGAGAAAGACTCGTGCAGCACACCCTGCGCCGCCAGCTGCGTGACTATAGAGAGCGGCCCGCGGCCCAGCCCCATAACCCCGCTGAGTGACGCCGTGGAGGAGTCAGAGGCGAGGCGGCCCGTCTGGTGCACTCCGCAGCTGGGGATGGGGGGGAGAATGGGATGGGGGGAGGGGTTGGAGAGATGGGAGGGGGAGAGAGGAGGGGCATTGAGGGTGGCGGGAGCCGCTTGTGTGGGTGTGTGGCGTTTGAAAAGGGCAGGTGTGAGGCATATGAAAAAGGGCAGCACGAAAGGGGGGAGGGAGGAAGGCAAGAGTATAAGAGAGTAAGGGAGGAGTGCAAGAGAGAATAGTGGAGGCCAGGTAGGAAATGAGAAGGGGGGGGCAGCAGACCCCGATCGCACGTGTTAATGGCGGCACGTATGTGTGGTACCCGAAGGCGATCGTGGCACGTGTGTGTGGTACCCGAAGGCGATCGTGGCACGTGTGTGTGGTAACCGAAGGCGATCGCGGCATGTGTGTGTGGTACCCGAAGGCGATCGTGGCACGTGTGTGTGGTACCCGAAGGCGATCGTGGCACGTGTGTGTGGTACCCGAAGGCGATCGTGGCACGTGTGTGTGGTACCCGAAGGCGATCGTGGCACGTGTGTGTGGTACCCGAAGGCGATCGTGGCACGTGTGTGTGGTACCCGAAGGCGATCGTGGCACGTGTGTGTGGTACACGAAGGCGATCGTGGCACGTGTGTGTGGTACCCGAAGGCGATCGTGGCACGTGTGTGTGATACCCGAAGGCGATCGTGGCACGTGTGTGTGGTACCCGAAGGCGATCGTGGCACGTGTGTGTGGTACCCGAAGGCGATCGTGGCACGTGTGTGTGGTACCCGAAGGCGATCGTGGCACGTGTGTGTGGTACCCGAAGGCGATCGTGGCACGTGTGTGTGGTACCCGAAGGCGATCGTGGCACGTGTGTGTGGTACCCGAAGGCGATCGTGGCACGTGTGTGTGGTACCCGAAGGCGATGGTGGCGTTGGCGGAGTTCTTGGAGGTGGAGCGCAGAGCAATGGAGTCAAAGAGGAGATCCCCCGCCGTGGTGCTGCCGTCCCCGTACTGCAGCATGTACTGACACCGCCTACTCGTGCGCACCCCTCCCACCTGGTGAGGGTGACGCGATGGAGAGAGGGGGAATACGGAGAGAGGAGGAAGGGCGAGAGGGAGAGTGAGAGGGGGATGAGGAGGATCTTGTTTAATTGACTCGAAAATGAGGAGGATCATGTCGGTCATGCCAGGATCAAGCTATAATCCAACCATCATGTGCTGGCATGACCTACTTGTGCGCTCTACCCCCAGGTCGGACGATGGAGCGAGTATGGAGAGACGGGGAAATGCGAATGTCATGTCGCTCTCCCTTTTCCTCTCCCTTTCCCTCTACCTTACCCTCCCCCTTTCCCTCTCCCTTTCCCCCCCCCTTTCCCTCTCCCTTTCCCTCCCTCTTTCCCTCTACCTTCCCCTCCCTCTTCCCCTCCCCCTTTCCCTCCCCCTTTCCCTCCCCCTTTCCCTCTCCATTTCCCTCCCCTTTCCCTAACCCCGCGCTCCTTTCCCCTCCCCCTTTCCCTCCCTCTTTCCCTCTTCCTCTCCCTTTCCTTCTCCCTTTCCTTCCCGCTTCCTCTCCCTTTCCTCTCTCTCGCCTCCCTCTCCCTCCCCCCATTCACCCTCTCCCCCTATACCACTCTCCAGCGCACCTGGCAGCCCACGGGCATCTCGAGGGCATATTGCTGGGTGAGGGCAGTGCAGGGGGCGTCGGTGCACGCGCCACCGCCCAGGCTGCTGGAGTTGCCCGCCCAGTACACCAGCTGCTCGCCTGCCAGCTCCTGCACCTTGCTCGCCGCCTCCCCTGCTGCAGGCGCTGCTGCTGCTGCCCCTGATGATCCTCCTGCTGCTGCTACTGGTGATGCTGATGGTGCCAAACCTAGCGTTGTCGCTGCTGCTTGTGCTTCGAATGGTGATGGTGATGATGGTGATGATTCCTGTGTTGATTCCAGTGTGGCCGAGCGCATCGCTTCCATCGCACCTCCATCGCCCACGGCTGCAAGGCTGTGCCGCTGCTGCCCTGCCACTGACTCAGCGGCCACGGGCCAGTCAGCACCGCCCTCTGCTGCTCCCCGCATGAGCCACCCTCGAGGCACCGCCAGCTGCCCCGCTTCTTCATCCCACCGCTCCTCCTCCCTGCCTTCATCCCACCACTCCGCTTCCCTGCCCACCCCCCCTGCCCCACCTCCCCCAGCATATGCACCCGTATTCACCGCATTCCCCGCCCCTGCTGCAGTAACCACCCGCCTTGCGTCTCCCTCTGGTTGTGCTTGTGCCTGAGCCTGTGCCTGTGTGTGTGCCGGGCGTTGAGAGCCGTCAACCTCCAGTGCCATCTGCGCGCCAGCAAGCAACCCTTGCCCCGGATCTGCGCTCGTCCCTGCGTTTGCTGCCATGTTTGTCGCGCGGTTGAGAGATGCGGATGAGGGAGGGGCCACTGGGGGGCCCGAGGGGGGCGTGGAGGGGGAGGGGCCTGACGGTGGAGCTGGGGAAGGGGCGCTGGGAGACTGCTGCCCGCCTGCAGGCTGCTGCTGGGGGGGTTGCGTCAGGCGGAAAAGAAACATTTCAGAAAGGGAAGGGTGAGAAGGTTTCTCTGTCATGTGTTCTAGATAGTGTAAGGACTGAAAACGTGATGAAAAGGGAAGAAATGGCAGGTGAGGAGTGTTAAGAGCATGAAACACAAGTCATGCTGCAGCCTTGCTGTCATAAACACAAGACAGCAAGGCAATGAAGAAAGGCTACCAGAACTGTAGTCCAGCAATCCAACAGCTATTGGACATTCATCCTGCAATCCACTGGAATGCCATGGCCCAAAGGCCCACCTGGGTGTGGTTGGTGGAGGGGTGGGGCGGAGGGCAGGAGGGGCAGACACAGCGCGTCCACAGCAGGTCGCTGCCCGTGTCCACCTGCAGATTCACGAGCTGCCTCTGCCACCCCAGCTGCACCTGCACGTAGTATAGCCTGCTCGCAGAGCCGGGGAAGCAGGGGGAGAACAGAGACAAGGCACCTTATAGGTCCATTGAGTGGTTGTGGATGCCTGCTGCAAATTCACTCCCCCTCCCCTCTCCAACCCCTCCCGTATCCCCTCTCTCACACCCCTCTCTCGCTCATTTCTCACCCCCTATCAACCCCCCTCTCACCACCCCCCGCGCACCCGGATTTGCTGAGAAAGTATCCATCCAGGGGGTACTGCACGTCCCCCAGACCCAGCAGCCTGCGCCGTCCACCCGCTGGTGGGGCCCACGGCAGGCTGTGCAAGAGCCGTGATTGGCTGTCCTCGTTAGTGAGTTGCCTGAAACCATCTCCCTCAGCATGTCCCTTATTAGCATCCTCGTTTTCTTCTGTAATGGCCTGCTTGACGGGCAGGTACACGCCCTCAGGCGAGTGGCCCTGAGCCATCAGCTGGCGGAAGAAGCGAGGCTGCGGCGAATCACACGATGCTGAAGGCAGCGCCTGGGATCGCAGGGACAACGTTCCTCTTGCTGTTGCTGCGGTTGTTGCTGCGGTTGTTGCTGCTGCTGTTCCGGTTGTTACTGCTGAGGTAAGTGCTTCCACTGCCGCTGCTGCTGCTGTTCCTCCCGTTGCTGCTGTCTCCACTGTTATGGGTGCTGCTGTGTCGGGGGTAAGTCGCACATGGTTCCACGGGCTCATCCGCCAATCATGCACCTGGGGGTGGACGGGGGAGAGAGGCGTTGGGCTCAAGGAATACATGTGGCGACCATGAGAGCGTTTGACTGGACCACGAGGAAAGTGGATTGGACCACGCTAGCACACGATAGAAGTGTAGGGGAGAGAGCACGGCGGCAGTGCAGCAGTTGTGCGTGCGTAGACAACAGTCTCAGAAGGAGGAAACTGCAGCTTTGAAGCCATGCGCTCAATGCGGACAGCAAAGCCTACTGACACCCGCCTACTGACACCCTTAGGTAACTAAATAGATAGCAACAAGTCAGTACCAAGAGAGGAAACTTAGAAATGGAACGAGGAACAACCCGCTAGGAGAGCTTGCATAAAAGCAGGCCAACGAGCACGGGAAGAACAGCAAGACCACTTCTTTCTGTACCCTTCCAAGGCAATTTACGCTCCATAGGCATGGAATAACAGAGACAACCGCCGCCTCCGTGCTGCCTCTCTCTCAGTTATGTAGTAGCATTCAGGCTAGCATCTCTTGCATTTCAGATGACGAATCAAATCCAACCCTTTCTGCGATTTCCGGCCTGAATGGCCGATAAGGTCCAGCGCACGGCCGGCTGTATCATTCGCTTTTCCGACCCCAGCGCAGCTACTCCCATTGTCACACAGCGGGACACAATGGCGCAGGCGAATTATATTATGTGAGAAAAGGGGTGTGTGTGAGAGTGGTGTGTGTGAGCGAGTTGTGTGTGAAAGAGGTGCATGTGAAAGTGAGAGGCTACCTGCTGCGAATGCTTCCGCAATGATGCTGAGCCATGGCTGTCGCACCGCGACAGGGGAACGGGCCACGCGGAGAGCAGCAGCAGCGGCAGCACTAGCGGAAGCAGAACCCGCGGAGTTGCTGTGCGACGACGCGACGAGGCAGCATTCGCCGTCGTGCGATGGAACGACGCCGCAGGCGACGTTCCTGTACGACGACTCGTCGCACTATGGGAGAGCATGGTGCCTTCTTGACTCAAAACCTAACATCTTCGGTAAATCCGACGAACGCCTACTCTAGGAAGGACGTTCGGGGGATTGATAAGATTAAGCGGGGACTATGTACCATGACTAGACATGCTGTGCGCGGACCTAGGAACAAGAACGCTGGTAACAGACTCTGACAGCGAATAACGGCGAAATCTGGCTTATCACATCCGCAACATCCGGCTAAGGACATTAACTAGCCTTGGACTCGCACATTCCTGCGTCGAAACCCTAGTTTACCGACTATAAATGTTCTAACTGTTGCTAGCAGACTTCACACTGTTGCGTGTAACGGTAGGAGCCTATTCAGATAGTGGCCCAATGAGAACAAGGTTAGCCCTGTCGCTTGCAAGAAACCTAAACTGGGTTTCAGACGGAGCAGCGCAGCAGAAGCAGCCATTGAGCTCGTCGCCGTCGCATCAGGACTCAAAAAACGGGCAAGGCTGAGCCTACACGACGAAGGCGAAGTGGAGTGTAGATCGCACACTTTGCAAGAAGGATCCCATCATGGCGACGTCGCAACTAATCCCTAGCGACCGTGGCGACCATTCTCAATCGTGGCTCCCAACCAAGACGTCATACACCACGTGTGTAACCTAGCACCACAAGCAGCACAACTATGGCCAGGAATGGCTGCTCGTTTCTGTAATCTGGATCTTGCTCGTCCTTACAGGTCATTCGCGTCTGCGTCAGTCAGAATGACTTGATCAGATCCCGTGATACAGTACAGTACATCCTTTTCTTGTGTGGAACGAAGTTCATTTCGCCTCTTCGCAGGCGCGCGGTGTGAACGAACCAACTGGAGACGGAAATGAAACGAATTTCGGTCGCCGTGACAGAGTCTGGCTTCGCCCGAGATTTCTCCACTGTAGAAAGTACATGGTGCAGTCAACAACGCCTGTCCTATTCTAGTGCAGAGTGAATCGGCGAGGCCACATTGGGCATTTTGGCAACTTTCGCACGAATCACATCCAAGGTTCTGTTACCCTTTTGTCGTCAGCTCCAGGCGATGTGGCACAGCGGGCAGGCGGCAAGATTCCCCACCCCAAACCAAACCGAGATTCCATTTGCTCTGGCATATGTCCGTTGGTTTCGTTTCGTGCTCGAACCAAACACCTTGGACTTTGGCAGACCGGGTTCCTCCAGAGTTCGAGGTCACTTCAGGTCATCCTCGACTCACTTCGTGTCTGACCTCATGTCAGACACGAGCCAAGAATGCACCCTAAGGAGCTGGAATGTAACTTTCCTTGTTCTTTTTTGGGCTCATTATGCGACCAAGGGTGCATTCTTGGCTCGTGTCTGACATGAGGTCAGACACGAGTGAAGTTGAGGAAGACCCGAAGTGACCTGGAACTCTGGCAAATCAATGTTCGGAAGACCCGAAGTGGGCCACTTCGGGTCTTCCGAACCTCCATCCAGACCTCCACTTCGTGTCTGACACGAGGTAGGAATGCACCCTTAGTTTTGTCTCCCTCATTTAGTCACCAGTTTACTCAAAAATTGTGATTTTATGAAATTTGTTCACACCCAGACTATGTTCAAAACTGGTCCTGTGAGGAAAAACTGGTCCTGTGAGGAAAAACTGGTCCTGTTAGGCAAAAATTTGTGTCTAGTTTCTGAAGTATCTGAGCAATTTCTCTCTAGTCCAATTTATTGATGGTTGTTTTCTACCCACCAGTTGTTTTTTTTACTATCTACACTGCATCTGCAATTATAAATGCCAATGTGCCTGTAAACCTTTCCTATGATCGATCAGAGATCTCAAATACACCTGTTACGAATAGTGAAATATGATTCTGCACTCCTAACCGAAGCAAGCGAAGCACGCAGTATCGAGGCACGAACACGAAGAATCAGAGCTGAATCAAGGCAGGGTTAACAGTTGGAGTGAATCCAGACCGTCGGAGGCAAACGGAATCGAGCAGCTGCAGGAACGAGGGAATTGGCGGGAACAGTTTTCGTAACTGTACGCACCGCACGGTTGGATTTGAATTTGAATAAGGGAATGTATCCCTTAGAGTACATTGCTAGCTAGGTCGATTCGGCTAGCTAGGGATTTGGCTGTGCCCCCTGTACTCATATTTATACAACTGTATTTGCATGTTTAATTCCATCTCAAGCATTTTACATTCACTCTGCTATTGAGGTCAAGGGCCCACCACCATCAATCAGTTGTGTGCGAACCTACTCGATGTGATCCTAGGGTCGATCAGTTTCTGATCGTAACATGGTATGAGAGCGACTCGGGAACCCTTCGCATTGCCTCCTCCGAAATCTTCGACGAACGGAAAGTGGCGTCCGGCACACGCTCGCGCGTAAGAATGGCCGGAGGATCCGGTGGTCAGACGAAACTGACGGCTGAAGCGCACACCAACCCGGCTGCGAAAAGCGAGAAAACAACGCCGATCGGAACCGCCGTCGTCGCACAACTACTTCAGCGACTCACCAGCCTGGAGCAAGGTCTCCAAACATTGCGCAATGACGACGCGGGAACATCCTCGCAACCATCTCAACCGGCCTCAAACGGCCAGAACACCGCCCCGCATACCTTCTCCCTCGATACAAACAAATGGTTCAACCCCCAAGACTCCCCGTCCCAGCGAAGAAGCAATTCTCTCTGCGCAATCAAGGTTTCTCAGCATATAAAAAATAAAGACAAGTACCTGCTTTGACGACAGAGATTTCTATACTTGGAGCTTTGAGCTGGAGCTCCTGCTCCAGAACGCTCATATTTTCCACTACTTCGACGGGAGTTACGCGGAACCTGCTGAAGATACCGACGACGCCAAATTAAGGTACTACAACGAGTCCCTGATGGCGTACGGGGTTCTTCTGCGCAATATGTCGCCGGCGGAGCAGTTGAGCATTCGCTCATACAAAACTTCTGCTGCTCCAGCCCTCGACGCCTGGCGCCACCTGAACGGTGTGTATCAGCCGAAGGACTCCGTTTCTTCGAGCCGGCTGCTCCAGCAGCTACTGGAGACCAAAATGGCCCCAGGGGAGAAGGCCAACAGTTAACTTAATCGCTGTCGGAGCCTTCGCGACCAAATCGCGAAATTGGGAAGCTCGATCTCAGAGGAAATTTTTATCAACATCGTGCTTCAAGGGCTCGGCCCAGAGTGGCGGCCCTGCAAGGCGCTTCTTCGACAGCAGGGGGTCATCTCGGAGGCCGCCCTTTGCGCCGCCCTTCTCGTCGAACAGAGGGATATGGATCAGCAGCGACCAGCGCCGCGACGAGAACGAGAACGGCTCGCCTTCTACGCCGACAACACCGAAGAGCGACGGCCGCGGCGCCTCTACTGCAAAATTTGCAGAAATTTCGGGCACTTGGCAGATCGATGCAAATACCGATCGCGCACTCGCCAGACCAATCCGAGCACCTGGTCCGGCCGTCAAGACGCACGAGGCGACGTGCGTCCAGCCCAGGGGTATCAACCCCCCGCGTGCAATCTGAACCCAGCGGTTCAGCATCAGCAGCATCAGCCATCACCGGCTGCGCCAGTACGCCATGTCATGGGGAACCAGCTATAACAAGCGAATCTCGTCGTCGCCGCGTGTGCTCACCATCACCTGAGCCAGCTCCGCACCCCATCGGTGCGTTCTCCAACAACAATCATTTTAGCACGCGCCACGACTTCACCGACGACGACGACCAGGACTGGAACCTCCCAGTCCCGCTGCTCAAAAGCCCCCCGCACGTACCTGATATGCGGGTGGCGCCACTCGATTGGCTCTCGCGCGAGCAATTTATGAAGTTCGACACACCTCACCTCGTCACACCGCGTTTGGCGCTACGTAACGACAGGAAGCAGTACAACACCTGGTACCTGGACAGCTGCTGCGGCCAGCATATGGTGGGCTCCAAGCGCTTCGTCTCCAACGCCGTCCCCACCCATACGGTCACATATGTCACCGTGGCCAACAATACGCGCCTGCGCAAGCGCGCAACAGATCGTCGTACTCAAGGCGCAGGGAAGTCGCACGCACATCTCCCTCAATGACGTACTTGTCAAAATCAACAAGAGTGATTGAACTAGGAAAGAGTTGGGTACAAG